CAACAGCAGAAAGCTAACATGTCAAAACTAAACCAACATATAACAGCTATAACCATTAATGTAAATGGCATAAAGGCACCAATTAAAAGAAACAGGCTGGCACACTAGATCAAGAAACAACATCCAACCATATGCTGTATGTAAGAACCCCATCTAAGCCAAAAGGAAAATTATAGACTGACACTCAAGGATGGAAAACAATACTCCATGCAACAGGAACCCCCAAGAAAGCAGGGATAGCTATTCTGTTTGCAGATAATGTGAACTTCAACACAAAAATGATCCAAAGAGATAAAGAAGGTCACTATCTACTACTTGGGGGAAATTTCAAAAAGACATAATAGTCTTAAATATATATTAAACAAACGTGGGTGCACTCACAAATAAAAAGAAATATTAACAGAAATAAGAACCAATAACAAAATTATAACAGAAGACCTTCACATGCCATTGATATGATCAACTAGACAGAAAATCACCAAAGAAATAACAGAACTAGATCACACCTGTGAATATATGTACTTGGTGAACTTATACAGTGTCCGACCCAACAACACCAGAATATACATTCCCTTCACAAAACGTGGAGCATTCTCTAAAATAGACCATATGCTACCCACATAACATGGTTGAGTAATGCAAAAGACTTGAAATTCTTACATGCATTTTACTGGATCATGGCACCATGAAATTAGAAATTAGAAAATCACAAAAGAAACTGCAAAAACCACACAAACACATGGAAATTGAATCATACATTCCTGAGCACTCAGTGGATCACAGAGGAAATTTAAAAAGACATTAAACAATACCTACAAGCAAACAAAAATACAAATTCATCTCACTGGAACCTGTGGGATGTAATGAAAGCAGTCCTCAGAGGAAAATTTATTATGATGAATTCCCACATCAGGAAAACAGAATGAACACAAATAAAAAACCTGATCCTACACCTCAAACATCTTGAAAAACAAAAACAAGTCAAGCCAAAAGTTAAAGAAGGGAGGAAATTATAAATATCACAGTAGAAACCAATGCAATAGAGAGTAAGAAAATGATACAAAGAAGCAATGAAATAAAGAGTTGGTTCATTGAAAGAATAAATAAAATTGGTAAGCCCCTGGCCAACCTTATTAAAACAAGGAAAGAAAAAAACTCAAATTTATACAATAAGGAATGAAAAGGATGAAATCACCACAGACCCTGTGGAAATACAGAAGATCACCGATACCTATTTTGAACTCTCTCTCTCTACTCTCATAGGCTTGACGACACAGGAGAAATGGACAGATTTTAGGAAACATATGAATTACCAAAGTGGAACAAGGAGTTGTAAAACTTCTGAAACAGCCACCAAAATAACTTAGTGAAATTGAAAATGTAATTAAAACCTTACCAACAAAGAGAAGCCCATGTCAAGATTGATTCACTTCAGAATTTTACAAGACATTCAAAGAAGAATTAATGCCAACACTCCACAAACTTCAATGAAATTGAAGGGAAGCAATTCTTCCTAATTCATTCCTGGAAGAAAGTATTACACTAACACCAAAATCAGAGAAAGACCAAACAAAAGAGAGAACCACAGGCCAATCTCCCTAATGAACACAGATGCAAAAATTCTCAGTCAATTACTGGCAAACAGAATGCAGCAAACCATCAAGAATAGTTTACACCACAACAAAGTGGGATTCATCCCAGGAATGCAGGGATGGTTCAACATACACAAATCAATAAATGTAATCCTCCATATCAATAGAATCAAAAATAAAAATGATATGATCATTTCTATAGCTGGAGAAACTTTTGATAAGATCCAACACTCAGTCATGATAACAATATTACAGAAAATTGGAATACATGGTCTTTACCTCAATATGATAAAAGCCATCTATGACAAACTAACATCCAGCAACATATTAAAAGGCCAAAAATTGAAAGCCTTTACTCTAAAATCAGGAGCAAGACAAGGATTCTCACCTCTCCTATTCAAAATAATGCTAGAAATACTAGCCAGAGGAATTAGAAAAGAGAGAGAAATAAAATGAGTAAGGATTAGAAAAGAAGAGGTTAAAAATCATTATTTGCAGATGACATGGTATTCTATATAGAAGGCCCCCAAAATTCCATTGAAAGACTCCAAGGTATAATAAACAAATTTAGTAACATAGCTGGATACAATGCCAACAATCAAAAATCAATAGCATTAACATACACAGACACCAAACTCACTGAGATAGAAATAAGAGAAGCCACAAATTGGGGAAAAATCTTAGTGAAGTTTCCTTCAGACAAATGACATCTGTCTTGAAAATATAAAGAATTTTATAAAAATCAGACTCCCGAAATTCAAAGGCCTAATCCAAAAATGGGCATTCACATACACAATTCTCAGATGAAGAAATGGCAATAAATGACAAAAAGGTAACAAATGGCAAATAAATATATGAAAAAATGTTCTACATCTTTGCTCATTAGAGAAATATGCAAATTAAAAGCACACTGAGAATCCATCTCACTGTAGAAAGAATGGCCAGGATCAAGAAAACTACCAACAACAAATGTTATAGAGGCTGGGGCGGGGGGAAAGGAAATCTCTGCACTGTTGGTGGGAGTTCAGACTGGCGCAGCCACTGTGGAGGTCAGTCTGGGGGTTCCTCAAAGATCTGGGATTGGAAATCCCATTTGACCCATCTATTCCACTTCTGGGCATATTCCCAGAAGAACTGAAAACAGCATACCACTGTGATGTATGTGCACTCTTGTTTATAGCGGCACAATTTCTAACCACCAGGTCTTGGAAACAACCTAAGTGCCCATCAACTGAGGAAAGGATAAAACAATGTGGTATTTTATACAATGGAGTACTACTCAGCCATAAAGAATGATCACATGGAGATTTTTATATGTAATTGGATGCAACTTGAGAACATACTCATAAGTGAAATGCATCAATCTCACATGTGTAAATACTGTATAGTCTCCCTAGTGTAAGAAATGGTAAGAGTACATAAGATAAAATACAGTGAAAGGATAAGAATCTGCATACAGGGAAAAAATAATGTCTAAGTGAGGAAAAACAAAAAGGAAGGAAAAATAAAAAGTATCTAAATTTATATAAATACACAGAGTACCTAAAATGATTGTACTACAAATTCTATAAGTTCTTGGGAAAAAGTTCGCATTCGTAGATTGGAACAATTGTGCATATTATTGTCTGGTGATCTCAGAAACTCTTGAAGATCACTGTGTAAAATAACAGACCTAGTTATGCTCCTACCACCTTGTTTGGAAGGCCTATATCATCAGTTATTTGCACTCTGCTATTGTTATTTATTTGTCTTTTTTGTTTCGGGTCTTTCTACAAATTTGTTTTGTTTGGTTTTGTTTTGTTTTTCTGTCTGATACAGAAAACATAGGTATACATGTAGACACTCATACATGCATAGAACTTCTCCTAAATAGTTTATGATTCTATAATGCATAATGGAATGAACAACTACTTTGAAGAAAAAGAGACACTATGTATCCAGTGCTGATTCCATAGCATCATGATGTGAAATCCAGCAGTACTATTATCCTTAACTCAGACTGACTTGAGCCTGTTTTGTACTTTTTAACTTCAACATACAAAAGGTATGCATAGCTGTTTTGAAGAGAACAAGACAAATTATGGAAGACATTGTTGACTTCCCTATTGTCTGGTTTTCAAGGCCAATGCCTTCCTCATTCTGTTCTGACCACTATTTTTTGTGCATCAATTAATTATATGTGAAAATATGGGCAACGATTCAGAAGAAGACAAGAGACCTTTTGGTAGACAGTGATAATATCCTGTTGTCTTGCTTTGAAATTAGTGTGACATACATTGTTTTCCTCTGATCTGCTTTCTTATGATTAGCTTACCCTGTTTAAAATAAAATTTTTTAAAAACTATGCTTTTTCTCCTGCACAGACTCACTCACAGTTGGAAATGTTTCATACTATAGTGCCTCATATAGAGAGGGAACTGTATGTTGATGAGGGGAACACGTCTAAAATCTATGTGAAAAAATTATTCATCCTTAAAGCACAACCTAATACTCACTGACACTCCACATAACTTTGACTTCTACCCTACTTTCATACAGTATGGCTAATAAACTTATTGTGACCCATACTCCTGAGGGCCCAGATTACTCTAGCTCCACCCAGACAGTCATGTGAACATGACTGCAAAGGAATACTGCATCTCAGTTTTCTTCTAAAAAATTTATAAAATGTTAGATGTAATTGCAGTTTAGGCTTATGTGACTACCTTATTTAGAACAGCACCATGCACATAGCACTTGATAAATGTTAACTGCTACCCTTCTTATCAAACCAGGAACTTGGAGCCCCATTCTATGATTCTTCAATTTTGTAGGAGAAACTTGTGCCTTATGAGTTATAAAAGAAAAGAAAAGAAATACCAAGAACTGCTGATGTGAAAGGGACAAACAGAGGGAAGAAAAAAAGAGTTGGACAGAGATGAAGGGACAGTTCATTCCCTGTTTGAAGTATAGATGAGAGGAATGCTGAGTGTCATTCAAGATACACAGCAAGAAATATTTATTCAGAGTTATATCAAAGCTTCACGTTACAGGCAAAAATGAACATTTGCTTGAAAGAGGTTAGAAAAGCATTTATGTGCAGAAACAGTCAAAAATTTGAATACAACTAAGTTCCATGAGAAAAGAAAAGGTGTACCACGCAGGGAGGCTGAGTTGCCTATGGAACTAGTCACTTACTAACCGGTGCCTTCTATAAAGTCTTTTACCCTGGAGCACCAGTAAAGATAGAAAAGCCAGCTCCTGAAAAATGGGAACAGGCATCTTAAACACTGTGTGTGAAAGACTGAGCATCCCACGAGGGCCAGTGTGTTTTGATTCAAGTTCTGGGTGACAGTTGGGCGGGTGTGTGGATGGAACCCGAGTTGTGATTGGCTGCTGGTAACCAGGTCACCACAGGATGCATTCCAGTTGGCTGGTGCCAGCCAGGTGCTTTCAGTTAGTAGGAGGTGGCTGAAGGAAGGAAAGCACTGACCTAACCTCTGGCAGTGGCTTTGCTTCTCAGCACTTTTGGGATCTCTACCCTTTCTGGCTCACAGAGGACGAATCATCTTAGCGGTGTTGGGAAAAGGGGGTCAAGGGTGGGGCCTGCCTGCTGGACAGAGACGAAAGTACAGGGACAGCAAGAGAGCCCTTCTCTGCATTGTTGAGCTGGTCAATTGGGGGCTGAGTAAAGCTGCAGTGACACCCTATGGGGAACATTCTGACCTGTTGCGTGGCCCCCAATTGTGGCCAGTGCAAACGCAAAGGGTCAGTGGAGTCAGACTGCGACTCTGAGGTCTATGGAGATGCGGGGGCACAAGTAACTGCTCCCCGCAAGACCAAGAAGTTTTCAAAGGGAGCCAGTGATGGTCACCACCAGGAATATATCCATTACTGGAAGATGCCCAAAGGTAGGCAGGGGCAGACGTGGGGACACTGGCTGGCCTTAGGTGAAACTTTCACACCCTCGGTGGCTTTGAACACTTTCTTTCAAGAGTTGGCTTTATTAGGGCTGGGCACTGATGGCAAGGATTTCACTCCAACTGTGCCTTGCTTTTCTACACTTATTTCTGTCCTGTCCTGTGAGGCCACTCTCTTTCCATCCCCTATCAACCAAGTTCTTGGCCCTACCCACTCCTGAATCCTATTATGGACCCTTTCTGTTATTAGCACTCTCTCTTGTCCTGTGGAACTTTATTAGGACTTTTTAGTATATTCATTCCCTTTTCTTAGAGTTCAAATATGTTAACATTTACCTATCCTTACCTAGACTGCTACCAAGGTTAATGAGACAAGTAAGCCCTGATTCTTACTTTGCTTCAACCAGTGAAGGCAAGGATATGCTTGCAGTTCAGATCCCAACACTTGAGGATTTCCTATGGAAATTCAAGTAGAAATTGTCATAGGGGTTTACATGATAACCTGACATTAGGTCTATAGAAGCTGTTTCATCCTTCCAATTGAAATTTGAGTCCAGAAAAAAAGATTGATGCAAGGGAACTTTAAATACCTAACACTCATGAGATCATGAGATGTTGCTCCAAAATTTTGAGACAAAACATGAACTTGGGGTTTAGTTAGGAAAGTAAAGCCTTAGGAATGAATGTATCACACCCTGTCAGCTCTGGAATGTCAGTTACTCCTTATCCCTTTTCCTATCCTGCCCCACCTGCCAGTACAATACTTCACAACTGTTAAGATTGTCAAAGTGAAAGGATCCTGCTAGAGGAAAGAGATGAAATCTTTGATTTTTACCCCCAAGAATTTGGAAAATGATCAATGTTGGTAAAATAATTGTGAGTTACAAGTTGGTTCCTTAATGAAGACTGTCCTTGTTTATTTTTCCATTTTGAAGTACTGGGGATTTAAACCAAAGCATTTGTAACTTTCTCTATCCATAGCCCTGTATTTTTTTTAAAAACAAGTGTATTTTGGGACAAGGTCTCTCTATATCACTAAGTTCCCCAGGCTGCACTTCACCTTGGAATCAATCTACATGCTCATCAAAGACAGCTCTACTTAGAGGATAACACTAAGTCTCTGAAGTAGAAAAATTGTATCAGGAAGATCTGAGTCCCAAATGGCAGAGTTTATTTCATTACTATATAGGAAATGTATTATAGTTTGTTCTTCACTTTAACTTTAGTTGGACTCTTAGTTACTTTGTTAAGACTAAGTTAGCCCAAAGCCGGGCATGGTGGCTCATGCCTGTAATCCCAGTACTCGGGAGGCTGAGGCAGGAGGATCCTTGCAAGTTCCAGGTCACCCTGGGCTACAAAGTGAACTCAAGGCCAGCTTGAACTACATAGCATGAGACTCTGTCTCAAAAAACACAAAAGAAAAACAGAAGACTAAGTAAGCCCAATATACATGCCTTTGTAACATTTTTGGAACAATAAAACTCATTAAAGAATGAATAAATGTACAACTTACACCTTTAAAGGCAAAGCACATAAGTATTTATGAAAACTTACACTGTACTTGATGGTATAAAGTAACACTCTGACTGATTTTACCAAAAAAAATTAGAAGTGTAATGTATTGCAAATATGTACTAATAAAAAAAGGAAGAGCATAAATAGGACCTTTATATAGTTCTTCATGATTTACATCTTCTCTTGTGTTATACATCGCACTTGACCCTTTCTAATACAAAGAAAACTCTGTACATTCTCTGTATTGTAGATTAAGAAACAAAGTTAGGAAATGACTGAGTGCTTCTAGCTACCTCCTAGTTCAGACAGACATGGATATGGTACAGATGCCAAATTCAATCTTTGCAGGGGAAAGAAAACTTTCCAGAATGCATCTTATATTGTATTCATAATGTAGACCTGTCTCTTAGACCTTACTCTCATCGTACTTAGTTTCATTTAGGTTTTGCAAAACTCAGAGGCAACAGGTACCTTTCTGTGTCATTTGTGTACATTCACTTTAATGGATAAGAACAAAAGTAAAGTTTTAAAAAATAGCCTAAATTTTCTTCTGAAGTCAAAGTGCTTGTTCTAGGAACTCAGTTGAAGGTGAGAATGCGGTGAACATTAGGGGAAGCTGGCAAGAGGGCAGGGGAGGGTAGGAGAATGGTAAGCAGCACTGATTCTGAAATACTGAAAAATACTTTGAGCATAAAGCCTGTTGTATTGTATTTATTAAAGTTTACTTTCTATTTGTCTTTTACAATTGAATGCTTAGGGTCAGGGAAATGGCTCACTAAGGCACTTCCGTAGCATGCAGAGAGCACAGCTGGATCCCCAGCACTGCAACAAGTGTAGTGTTTTGGCACTGAGTACAGTGACCAAAATCCTGGGTTATTTGACTTCAGTTTGCATAGATAGGAATACCACAAGGTCAGATAACAAATGTAAAAGATAGGTACATTGAAAATCTGCTTTTTGTCTTTATTTCAGGTAATTTTATATCAATTTCCCTGTAAAGTTCAAAATGCCTACTAAAAATTTTTTTAAAATTAAAGTGAAGAGTTTTATGGATGGGTTTTTTTTTGTTCTCTTGTCAATTATTTGAGGATAACATTTCTTCATGTCATTTAAGAACCTAGTGTAGATCTAAGACATACACAAAATAATTTTTGTATTACTTTACATTTAGCAAATTAAGTTGAGCTATCACATACTCAAAGATACCTTATGATTTGGCAAACCTTTATAATGTGATCACATACAATTCCATTAAATGTTAGTTTCTGGGGACATAGACAAAAATATTTTGGTTATTCATGAGTTACACTGTCTTAGTATAAAATTCAAATCGTATATTTGTCTTATAATTTAAGTCTATAGGATGAATTATTTTGTAGGGAAACCATTTCAGTATTAAATATTCCCATGACAAAATAAAGTTAACTTTCATTTTTTGATCAGCATTAGAATCACTCTTCTGGACATTTCTCATTCTTTATAGCCCATTTCACACCTACGTCTGAATAGCTATATTCTAAGACACCTTCAACTTAATGATCTTAAGTGACAAAGCAAGAAACAGCATTAGAAGAAATCTTAGAAGACATGGTAAAGCTTGAAAAAAAATATCTAGTTTTCAGGACGCTGAAACAAATGTTTACTGAAGAACCTATCAGTATTCAGTACAGAGCAGATAGTGCTGTACAGACAGCCCCATACTAACCATGAACCTTATAGTCTAGAGGGGACAAGGATAGACAGTATTTGTATAATTTAAAAGTCAGGTGGCAAGGTGAGGAGACAAAGTGAAATTGGATAAGAGTTGGTGTGGGAGGCCACTTTTACCAGGGCAATGGAAGATGCCTATTTTATTTAAATGATGTCTAAGCAGCCCTAAGTGTGAGAATGATCTGAGTTGGGCAATGCTTCTATGCAGAGGGATAGCCCTCTCTGTTTTGATATCGTTAAATGGGAACAAATTCGGTTGACCAAGACATAAAACATGAAAGCAGCTTCAGGACAGCAAACGACATCAGAAGAAGAACCTGTGGGTCAAAGTCTTTGTATGCCTAATGGGGTTTGAAAGACTACTATGGACTTTAGTTGTCACAAGAAACCATGGGAAGATTACTGGCATAGGAAGCTCTCTTTCTTGTTGTTGTTGTTGTTGTTGTTGTTGTTGTTGTTGTTGTGATACAAATAATTATTTTTTTTATTTAAGAGGAAAAAGAGAAAAAACAAAACAAATCAAAGTGGTGTAAGTGTACAAGTAATACAGAACTACAAAAAAAAGTAATAAATCACCAGTTAACAGATTACACATTATCATGTTAGAGATAGTTTCTCAAGTCACAGTATCAAAGCATACAAAGTGGACATTCAAACAGATAGACTGCAAACAGTTGTGTTCAATGATCCAACCAAAAACATTAATATGGTCAGCTATTTAACACCCCTAAACACACTTGCAGTTGTATACGTTAGAGCACTTCTTTTCCCTCTCTTTTTACAACAAAATTTACACATTTTGGGTTTTATTACTCCTTAGCTCTTATTACTTTTATTTTTTGGAAGAGAATAAAGTCAAATATGGCAAGACAAAGCTGTCAGTCAAAACCAAGGATAGACATAGTACATGATGTATAAACAGAGTACAAGGTTATCAACAATGGTTACCATAATGCCTCTTGCTTCCTTAAAAAGAATTGTCTATCTCACTAGGTATTATAAAGTTGAACAAGGCAGTAGAGAACAAGAACAATAAAACTTAAACATTGTAGGACTTCCAAACATTACAGGACTTCCAAAGGAGATAATAGTCAAAACAGAATCGGCATCTTAGTGAATCTTATTGCCTTCAAAGTAGTTGCTTACACCCTCAAACGATACTATCATACAGAACGGAGCAGAGTCTAATCAGTCAAAACAAGATAGTAGCAGTATTACAGGACTTCAAATCCAGTTAATAGAAAATCAAAAAAAGTTACTATAATATATCCTGCTAATTTTAACTTTTCCTTGTAGTTAAAAAAAAAACATAAAAAATAACTAAATAATTTTTCAATGAATAAGGGAGAGATTGAGATAAAAGAGGACATAACAACATAACAATACAGGTCAAAGCATGACTGTTTCAGCAACCTAATGCTTCACCACCAAATAACCCAACATAATAGTAGTTACCATAGTGTGTCTTTTTCCTGGAAATATTTGAATATAACTTCATATACTATAGAGGAAGCTCTCTTTTAAAGAAAAAATAGCAAGCCAACTGTAAATTTCAGATATAAGATGTGTAGAAATGGACTTTAAAATATGAAATACGTGTTGCCTTAAAAGCTACCTTGCTTTCTCATCCAACTCCCAGAGTATTAAAATATTTAAGCTAGTCATGTAATAATAAAGAAGTGATAATTTACAAGAATTCAAAGAAATTGAGCAAAGCATTCCTAAGTAATACATAAGTAAAACGAGGATTAATACAATATACGAATATCACATCTCAGTCCCAATCAGTAAAACACAGACTGAGGATTAAACAGATAGGGAAGGACTGAAAATGGATGGAGAAGCTGATTCAGGGTGCATATCAGCAGAGACTACAATAGAGGTGTCAGGTGGGAGTGAGCACTGAGCAACAGTATGCAGGAGCTCTGCTTCCTGTGATGTACCCTCTGATCAGCACAACCAGCTCCAGGCAGTGGAATGAGGATGCCAACAAAACCAACATTCTCCATAGAAATTATGAATCTACAATGGTTGTGTTTTGGATCTTAAAAACTAATATAATTCATAGCAAAAGAATATTAGACTGGCCAGTGATTTAGCTCAATGGTATAAGCATGTGCCTTGCAAGCACACAGTCATGAGTTCAAACTCGGGTACCAAAAGAAAAAAAAAGAATAATACACCAACTGGGTAAATGTTGTAACCTTCAAATCAGCAAGTGCACAGCAGTTGGCACAGAAACTGTGAATATCTTCTATTTAAATGGTATTTATTGAAATCAGTGTCTTTTTCTAATCCTGCTTTTCTCCTGCACTGTTGTTCATTGTTTTTTTCTCTTTATTATTTTGATGAGAAACATTAATTCTTGACAGTTTCCAGCTGCATAATTTTAATATTTTAGTAGTGCATTTCATATATTCCAAGTCACGTGTGTTACTTTCTGTTTTTAATAGTTCTTCAATTGAGATGGATGTCTCCATTCATAGTATCTTAGACATTAACAAAAGCAATATTACATATCAGTAATGCTTTATAGATTTATTTCTCTCACAGATGTTCACAAGATGTAGACTTGAGTTAAATTTTTAAGGCTGTATTTCACCTATAACAAACCACTGTGCTGTGAAGTTTAAATTTTAAACTCGTAATATAAAATTGGTGGATATTCCAAAAGAGTTTTAATCATAATCTCTAGGTATAGTTTGAAATATTTGTATATATTTCCAAAAATCTTTAAGGCATTTGTATAAGTTTCATGGTACTCAAAGTTTGCATTTTCTTGACATCTGTTTTAAGTTGTATGTACGCAGGTGAGTGTGTCTGTATGTGTCTCTGTATGTGTGTTTATGGTCCCTAATGATTTGCTTTATCTCTGGTAGTTACACAATCATGATAATGAAAGAAGAGCAATGTGATATAATTAGTGTCCCTTTTGGCTCTTGGAAATAGTTAATACACTGTAGAGTATTAATACAGTTCTTATCAGTTTACTCTCTAGTAACATAAATGTCTATTGGATGAAATGGCAACACATGATGTTTACTATTAGCAGAAAGAGCAAGCAGTATACTATAGAAAACTGTGGTGGGCACATGATAAACTAGTACTTCCTGAAAACTGTGCAATGACAATGTTCAAAGTAATGGATACAGTGCCTAACATACATAAAACTGATGTGAAAATAACAAGTGTGAAAATTCCACTACTATGTATGGGACAGTAGTCAAACTGTCATCAGATATTTGTAAATTAAAGGCACAGTAATGTTTCTCATGCACATTCACAGGATTTTAACAAAACAAATCTGGGCTTGGGGTTCAAATCACCGGTACCATGGGTACCACCGGACCCTAAAGTGCCCTTATGCCTTTTCAAAAGCAATTAGCCTTGTACATTCAACTAAGAAATCCACTCCATTTTGTCTAATCCCTGCATCTTTTAAATCTTTCCTAATCAGAAAAAGATGATTTCTTTTAAAATACTATCTATAAAAAAAGAAAATACCATGTACATGAATATTTTTCTCATAATAAAATCCAATTTTATGAGTGACTAAATCTTCAACCAATAGGAGATTGGCTACATAAAGTACACAATACCTTGCTGCACTGTTATGGTATCAAAAGTGCAAATATGCTCAAAGGGCTGATCATTTTGTGGTAATAAAATATGCAATGAATTGTATATTGATGTTATTTTTTTCTTTTTTAATTGTTCTGGAGATCAAATCCAGACCTCTGTGCTTGCAAGGTATGTTTTTCATAACTGAGTTATGTTTCTGAGCCCAAGAGCTACTTTTGAAACATGCATAATCAAAGCAACTAAAACAAATGGTGGTGGGTATGTTGATAATTTTTAAACACAGTAGTTTGGCATTTATAAATTGCTGTTCATGATATCTGTTAAATGAGTCAGTGACTCTTGTAGGTCCCCACCTTGAGTGTGATCATCAGTACCGCTGATTAACCAGCACCCTTAACAATTACAAATTAAAGAAAATTTATTCCAAAATAGACTTGCATAACCAGGTAGTTCATACAGGTTGATCATGTACAACTAGGCCCAGGAAGTAACCCTTCTCAAAAGCCCATGTCCGTTCTCCTTCCCTCTGTCCATCTCTTCTGCCAAACATTTACTATTCCTGATGGCAGGGGTCACAACCAGCAGCTGCCAGTTAGCTAGATAACAGTCCTAGTGTCTTTCTCCTCTGGTTGTTGGGAGGACTCAAGAGACTTGTAATGCAGTGACCAACCCTGGGCCATATGCCTATTCTATTGCTCTAGAGAGGGTGCAAGCCTTTCCCTTGGGCTCATTTCTTTTATTTTTGCACATTCTCTTTATTTTAAATACCAAACTTCTTGAATTTTGTCTTCAGATACATAGTCTTGGAGACAGAGACAGAGACAGAGACAGAGACAGAGAAATAGAGAAAGACAGAGAGAAACACAGAGAGAGAGAGTGGGGGGGGTTAAATTGATTAATCTGATTTTGATACTTAGTTTTGCTGGACTACATTCAAAATCTGTCATTACAAAGGTGCCAATACCTAATATAGCTCTTTCTATAATTTATTTCTAATAGTAAAATAATTCTACAAATTATATTGAGAAATTCAAATGTGCACATATTGGTGTTTTAGTAGGACGTGGTCCGAAAGTTGTCAGAAGCTTTAAAATACAGATGGCCGTGTAAGTCTGTACCTGTCACCTTGTGCATAAAGTGATTTTATTTTTCCACATAACTAAGATTGTCTCATCTTCTAAATGATATGCTAAAATTCATGGATTCTTCAGGAGTTCTTATATAAGAATTATTTTACTAAACTTGATTGAGGAACTACCATGAAGAATAAAGAAAGGTTTTAGTAAGTTGCTAGTGATGTCATTGTACCTTTAAAATCAATTATTCAAATTCTTGTTAAATCTGAAAGATCAATATTATATATATCCAAAATTCTAACCATAGTACTCAGAAGGGCAAAAGCAGTATTCAAAAGAAAGTAAACTTGTGAAGTGCTGAGTTAGACACTAGTCACTAATAAACTGATTATTTTTTTTAATCTATCAGTGCCCGTTTTGAATTTTGCAAGGCCAAGGATATACACAAGAGTGTGACTGGACCACTAAACACTCTAAAGTAGAATAATTAATAATATGTGCTTAAGGAAATATTGCTTAACCACTAGTTTTTTTTTTTTTGAATATTGGTACAGTTTGTTACAAAACTGGTTAAGTAGCCCGAGATTTTTGAGGACAGTCACAGCACATGCCATAATGACTTTTATTATCCTTTATAATAGGAAAATTGTGTTTTATTGAAGTTTAAGACTCTGTTTTATAATATCTACTAAAGAGAAGACTTTCCCAATCTAGTTCCAAGGTGGACTTCTGGGCAGAAAGAAGAATCAAAAATCTATGTACATAGACAAGTTTCTTAAAAAACAGTTTTTCTCAGGAAGGTGATTACAGATTAGCACTTTGGATTTTAATCCTAGATCTTCCATCATTTATAGTCTCCAAACATCACAGCTATCAAAATGAGTTGTCTTGTTGAATGCAGCTAGAATTAGCCATGTCATTCATGGTCTAAAGAACGTTTGATGTTTTTAAATATTTGTCACATTGAACTGGTATCTAACAGTGCATCCATGATGCAAGAGTAAGTGTTTGTTACTCAAAACCGCTCCTGAAATGTGCCAGTAATACCAGCAGAGAAGGCCATCGTAGGCCATATATTCATCGTAAAGTGCACTTGGTTCATGGAAAAGCTCTATTAGATTATCTAGGTAAAATTTTAGAATAATAAGTCTAAGATATAGCCTGTTTTATTCTGTATGTGAAAAGGGACTCTACAAATTTACAGTTCTCTGGGAGAATCCTTATGCTGTTGCCTTCGTTTTATTTCATTCACATTCATAACTAAATCATTTTACAATGCTGTTAACATGACCTAAATGTATTGGGAAGCTGTTTTGAAAACTACATTTCTACTGAACCAAGTCATGACATTTTTTTCTTTTTCTCTGTAGAAGGAGCTTCGAAATTAAACCCTTCTGATGATCCAAAGATAGGCACAATTTTCCTGAGCAAATCTCACACATACGGTAAGACTACATTTCCCCATCAATGATCAGGCTGAAAACTATTGTCATTTTACATGGTTGATACATTATACAAATATTTACAAGAACTTACATATGGGATTCAGTTTTTCAATTTTTTAAATGTGCATTTTACTTTTAAAATCTGATTATATACTTTCTTTTAATGTAACTTTAAAACTGAGAGCTTGTCTACTCTCTGTTAACACATTTTGCTGCCTCTTTATCACTACAGCAGGCCACATAATTAAGGAAGGGGTCATGGATTTAAACTTATTTTTCTCTATTATTTTGTTCCTTTACCCTTCTTCCACAGGAAATGTTTTAAGGAGAAATAATAAAACTTAGTTTACACTTAGAGAATCTTGACATCATATTTTGAAAATCATAGATCCAGATATGCAGATAGGTATATATGTGGATATAGCCAACAAGAGTCCTACTGAGTCATCCCTTCCATCTCACTGTTACAGTGCTATAATCCAGTGAGCCTACCTCACACCAGATTTAGGATTTATGGCATTCTCAGAAATTTTGAGTTAGCAAAAATGTTTTGATCCTATGAAGAAAATCTGTGTAAACATACTCTGACGTTAAGGGTAAGGCAATGTGTGCAACTACTGTAAATCATTGTGTCCTGCTTACTCCAGAGTGAGAATCAGATTTGCGGGACTTTGTGCAACCTAACTTCTCTTCTTCATGTTTGGATAAATTGCCTTTGTTGTTGTTGCTGCTGTCATTTTATTGTGTTGTTAAAAGTCTGATATATGACAAAATTTTCCAGTTGATTACAAGGGTAAGAATTTAAGGCATGAAGCCCCTGTAAAACTTGGAAAAATGCAGCACAACGAAAAACGGGGATTCTTATCTATATTTCCACTTCTGTACAATTTTCTTTTTGAGCTGGTCATTTCTGGTTAGCATTGCTGTGTTTTTCCATTTCTTCAGGAGATATATGTGCCTCTCACATGTAGAGTGTGGGATAAAAAACAAACAGATCCGCACTCCTCTCTTCAGGGGAAAGGAATATGCAGGTGTCTAGCTTGAGAGGAAACAGTATGGGAAATGCTGCAGTGGCCCATGTAACTCGGGAGTGTTTGCTTTATGTACTTCATTAGGCCAAAATGAATTTGTATGCTATTGAGAGGGTGTTCACTTAGATTAGCACATTCATTTCAAGCTCGATATTTCAGGTGGATTAATTTACAGTTGTCTAAAGAATCACTAATATTTTTAGTAACATCCGCATTAACTTAGTAGATTATGAATTCTAGAGCAGAAAGAGAATAGTGAGTGCCTAACCAGAAGCTTGTTCATAGAGCCGTCTACTATCAGATATTTATAATTAAGCTGTTAAGCAATATACAATTACAAAGTACTGTGTATTTACACAGGAAAGTCTGGTAAAACGAGAGACATGTAATAAGTTAACTTTTTTCTATTAGCTAATGTTCATCTAGGATCCAGTTTTACAATTTTCTTTCATGTAAGGACAGTCTGTCATTTTTTAGGGTAAACAGAAGGTATAAATAAATATTTGGTTTTCACTCTATCAAACTTGTCTTGGCAGGTAATTGGCTGATTTTGGAACCCAGTTCTAACTCACTACCTTGTGCTTCCCAGGCAGGCACTGTGCCACTGAGCTATATCCCCAGCACTAGATTATTTACTTTTAAAAGTAAAATACTCATTTTGTATATTCTGTATATTTATAATCCATCAGATATTTTGTAGCCAGTTCAATGTACATTTCTAAGGCATTCTGTATTGTGATAGCTTAAGTAGGTTTATTTGTTTTTCTTATTCTTAGTGCATGACCAGAGGAACAACACCCATCTCAAGCATGTAAGTAAATAGATAATAAGAAATTGAGTAAATCTGATTGTTTCTGCCATGATTTCTAAACAAATACAATGAGGAGCCAGTCTGTGACCATAGACTTCCTTTTCTGCATTTTTAATGTATTTTGTATTTTCCTGAGATGTTTTAAATTTACTTCACAAAGTCTTTGAGTTAGTAAGTTCCATTTTTAAGGGTTTCTGATATTTAAGTTCCATTGTGGTAATATGGGCACAGTGTTAAAGGTTTGTATGAAATATTTGGCTTTAATTTTTAATCTTTTTAAAAATCAAAATAAACTATTTAACACATCAGTCTTTAGCATTGTCCGTTGTTTTTCCATCATAACAGGTGAATGTTTAGCTTCCTCTTTCCGCAATGACTTTATTCTCCCCAATTTCCTTCAGATGCATAATACAGTTTTATTTTTGTTTTTGATATTTATTTAGATCATATATTTTAAACTAACTAATTATCATTTATTACTATTGTTTACTGCGAGGTTATGTAATAACAGTTACACTGTTCTGCCTTTGTATAATTTAATTCTTTCTCTAAAGTATTTCTGAAATGTACACAGCTCTGCACTGTTGCTGGATGATCCCTAAGGAGCATTAGTTCACAAAACCAAGTAGGATAAGGAACCCCAGAGCTCTTTCTGTTTTCACGTTCTTCATCTTTGAGGGAGGTCAATCTTGTATTCTTACTGGGACAGTTTTCTTAACAACAATCCCCGCAATGCTGTAACATTAGTCACATGCCTGCCAGGACATTGTTCACATTCTAAAACACCCTTGCTTCAGTTTTCTCCCAGAGACTGCCCTCACTGGCTTTCCTACCTTAGAGGGACTGGCTTGTCCTTAGGCCTGCTGCTTCACTTTCCCTGGAATATCTCCTTGAAGTCTGTCTTCCATAGGGCTCTGTTGCGAGTGTCCTCACTGTCCTAGATTCTTTTGTTTCCTCTGTCTTGTGCTCCCCTGTTCTACTGGAAAACTTTCTCCTATGAAAGGGCAAATGGATAATTTTAAGAAGCCAGCCTGTAAAGGAAAATATAGTTTTTAATAAAACATAGATTTGCAGGTTGATGCCAGTTTTCACAAAGCTCTTCTCATTTCTAGTGTTGCTCTTAACTCTGTTGTCCCCATATTATATACCTCAAAAATAACCAGCTATAGCCACTCCCCTCCTCTGGAAGCTTTTAAAGACTTCTCTATCTTAGGGATGCTGAAAGAACACAAGGGTTTGTTATTGACTTTTTCATCTCCTTGGGGTGGTCTTTAAAGTCTGAAAACTCCCTCTTCTTTAAAAGTCCTTGATATTTTCTCTAGATTTTCTTATACTTTTTTATTTAAATATTGTGTTTTTCATACTCGTACTTCTTCACTCATGTCAAATGTCCGTCCTCTTTCCATTTTCTACTTTTTCCTTTGGCTCTGACTAAATATTAGTTATTCCTTGAATTGAACTTTTTCAATCTGGTATTTAAATACTTTTAAACTTCTAATTTGCTCCTGAATTTCTAGCACTCCCACAAATTCCTTTGTTCCTGTTACAATGATCTCTCTTGTCAGAGGATTCCCTGAAATACATGGGTGACCCTGGCATTCCCTGGACTGAAATACTGTATGTGAGCAAAACTTTCATTTAACTAGTGGGCTCCACTGTGAGAATTTGGCAGTGAAATCAGGTTTTCCTTTGCAGGGCTTTGGGCAACACCTGGGGGCCAAATCTCTTGGACAGCCTGATATCAGAGAAAAAGCTCCTCAACCTCTGCCTGAGGAATACAATCAAAGCTGCCTGCTTTCCAGAAACTGTTCATCATACAGTGTTTCGTCCACTAATGTCTAGGTCTCAGCCATGATGTACTTGATATCTCTAAGTTTTAATGTCTATAGAATATAATATCTGCATAGCACCTGCAGAGATGGAGGACAGGTGTACAATGGCTCTACATTCATTTCCTATGGTTTTTCATGGCCTCTGCTTCACATTTTATGCCAAGGTGCTCTGTGCCTCGGAGTGTCCTAATATTTTCCCATGTGAGTTAACAGTATTTAACTTACAGTTTTCACACATCAAAAATGATGTCCATTCTGGATCCAGGTCTCATGTGTAACATTTATTTTATCCTTTAGTTCAAATAATATATCAGGAGCAAGTTGAACTAGCTGCATGTTCAATCAATCCACCATTTTTAACTTAATTAAAACTTGCAGTTCAAGTGTAAGTATGTCTTAGTTACCTATTTATTGCTGGGACAAAATACTCAACACCCACAAGTTAAAGGAGGTAAGGTGTCTTTTAGCTCACATTTTGTAGAAGTTTTAGTCCACAGTCATCTGGCTCCAAAGCAAGAAGTCATGGCAGAGGAACCTGAGAGCGGATATACACTGCATGGAATGGCAGGTAAGAAGCAGCAAGACTTCTTCCTCCTTTCAGTTTTTATTTAATTCAGGCTATAAGCCTCTTGGTTGGTGCCACCCAAACCCAGGTGCATCTTCTCTCTCCATTAAGCCCATCATTCACACCCAGAACTATGCTAATTATCCACACAGAACTATGCTAAACCATTCAGTGAACTAATTCAGTATCACACACCCATGATTCACTGACCTCCTCAGAAGTCTCTAGACTGTAAGCACTAGAGGGTTTAAAGAAACGTCTAGTATAAGCAATAACCAAATGTATTTAAATTAAATACATATAATGGTATTAACTTGGACCCTTAAATTAAATACATATAAAGGTACTAACTTGGACCCTTAAAAGTATGTATCTCCAATATATTAAGGATTCCTTTAACTTGTAGATGTCAGATGATTTTTTCCAGTGAAGAGAAAGTAGCTAACACAGAGTTTGGTGCTGGTGGTGGGGTTATTGCTGTGCTGCTGCTACCTGACCATATGGTTCAGAAGCCTTTATAAGTGGCATGTAAGATCATTTGGAAAGGTCTAGAGATACCAGCTGTGTATTTTTTATTACAACTGAAAAAAGTGAAAAGAAAAAACAGTTTTAACCTGGCTAGTGGGAGAGTAATAGGAAATGTAAAGTGTGTGTGTGTGTGTGTGTGTGTGTGTTACATTTGCAGAAAATAAGTTTGCATTTTGCTCATATCCAAAGGCTTTGTCAAAGGCTGAAATTAAATTAATCTGGTTGAAGAAATTTCAAGGCAGTTCAATGTTAAGGTACTGGCATGGTTACTGTTGATGGCTTTCATCTAGATCTATGTTGAGAGCAAATGGCCCAAAATAATATTTAAAATGTTTTGAGTTTGTCCAGAAAGAGACTATTTTGAGAGGATAATTCAGTGTCTGGATATCTAAGACTTTTAGGGTTACTTGGACCACTGTGTAAGTTTGTTTGCATGTCTTCTGTCTCTCTGGTTGCACACTGTTACGTGGTTCTGGCTGACTTTTGCACACAAAATACACACAGACACAAACATGTGCCATGACATCTCATCTGGATAGGCTTTTTAAAACTAAAAATAGATGAAAGTTCTTGAAATACTTACGAGGAAGGTTGGAGGAGCATCTCCAGGTAGCTCTAACGCTTGAGATTTGTCAAGGGAAACCTAAATAATTCAACATATTAATATATTTTAGTGTGGCAGCACAGGAAGAAAATTGGGACAATCTGAGCTGGACAAAGTGAACTAAAGAAGAAGAAAAACGATGCTTGAATAGACTTTGTAAATGTCACATTAATTTTTAAAATACAATTTATTTTTATTATTGCAGTTCTTAAATGAGAATACCTCATTGTTTCCAGACTTCTGCATTTTTATTTTTTGACAAAAGAGGTATCACTTTGGTCCTCTATCACAGATGTTCAGCAGGCTGTGTAATTGCCAAAAAGATCAGATTTGGTAGTGTAATTATTTTTGTTTTCCTAACTTTGTTGTTAAGTGTGAATGCATGAATCTGTTTGAATCGTTATGGTAATGGACTACTCCTACTCACTTACAGCAAAGAATAATTGTTTTCCATTTCATAAGTGAAGTTGTTTTCAAGGTTAAGTGATTGACATTACTGCATATTAGATAAGTGTATGTCAAAAACAATGTCTGTGATAGTATATATTGTGTGTACTAGGGGGTATACATAAGCCAGAATGATAGACATTTAGTGTTTTACAATTTTTTTCTTTTAAATTTTATGATTAAGCATCACTTAGAAATGTTTATGAATTTTTTTGCTATTCTAGTTATCTTTAAAAATGGGAAAATGGGGCGTGGACAGTTTCATTCTTAAATTCTTGATCTGAATTCACCTGTGGACCAATTGTACTCACCCAGATGTGCTGTGTGTTGTTGATATCACCAGACAGATTGTCTAACCATCTCAGAATGTTCATATACTTATACAAAATGGGTCATGCCTTTAAGGTCTTTCCCATGCTGAGGAAAATATTAAATATGCTCAATCTCTTACACTGTCACTGGAACACTTTCAGAGAAATGTTTTATGATGCAGCTGTTGGCAGATGTATTCCAGAATGTAGGTGGGATCAAATCTGTAGGACATAAACACCGAAAAAAGCTTCTCAGGCAGCGAATAGCATGAATGAGGCAGAAATATGTCCTCATAAGTGTCAGATAGCTTTAGAGAATTAAATGTAATCTTGAGTGTCTGAGGCTTTCCACAAAGTTATGTAATGGAAATCCTCCCAGAAAATAATTGAATGTTCAGCTCTCAAAGTTGTTCTTGTCCTCTATTTTAGATGTGAGGGAATCTTCAAATAGTACTTGTGTATTCTTGGTAAGGGTACAGGTCCAGGTGACCTATCGCCCTGGCTTGTTAGTGACTGAGCATCCCTGGCACAGTCCTTTGACTGTGAAATATTTGTCTCATCACATTAACACACTTAGTGTTAGTTAATGAATTAAGTGTTAAGCTTTTGTTTGTTGTACTATACTGTTAATACTGTGCCAATATTATGCAAGGCATTACATTTTATTCTAGTTACTAACAGTAGAAATAGAAAATCTTAGCTGTTTTTCTTGCTAAAAGTCGAAAATCTTATTTTAAACTTTTTATACTATTTATAAAATGATGTATACTAAATGCTTGTCAGATTTGAAAATAGGTAGCATAATAAGGGCTATATTTTACAACCTACTCCTCCAACACCCCTGAAAAGAAACAGCCTCCCCCAGTAACATTTTGCAGACCCATATGCATGACACTGCCCTCAGACCTTTCATGCACTGTAAGAAATACCTTCATGGTTTGTCACTTGACATTTTAACCAAGGAAACAGCCCCAACATTTGTGAGTCTAACTTACTGTGACATTTTCTTCTACTGTCAGCTGACGAGGAACTACAGCTCCTGCTCCTCAATATGGATGGATGACAGCACACTCAGCAAGCCTAATCATAGAAACATAGTACAATGGTGAGTACAGGGATGCTGCAGAGGCCTGAGTGACAGGTCCCCTACTGCTAAAACATTCCAGCCATGTTGGGTAAATTCAGCCATATGATTATTCTCTTCCTTTCCCACTTTCAAATATTGGAGCAAAACATCTATATTGATTGTAAAGGCCTAACTGTGATTTTCCCATTTTTATTTTAATCCACTCATGGTAGAAGGGATTCTTTAGCAACTAAAGAATCCCATGAAAAGTGTGCCTCTTTATACTAAACATGTATGATGCAAGACACTGTTAAATGTAAAAAGAACAGGTGCTTTATATTTGGATATTTCTAGAAAAGATAGTTCTCTATGAGTTACAGTTTAACAATTTAGAAATGACTCTTGGAAAAAAGAATCGCTGTTTCCTCTGTTGACACCCCAGTTACCAGCATTTGAATGTTTGCCATAATACATATGTGGTGTCACCTCATGTGCTCTGTGAGCACCACTGCACTGGGGTCAGTGGCTCACCTGGATTATAAACTCTAATACAATAACAAATTAAAGATACAAAGTTTTGAAAGCATGTTTCAATAGAAAGGGAGAAAATAGCCACCCTGACAAGAGAAACATGGAAGATCCATAGGCCTTTGTTCCTGGATACCTTTATTGTGTACCAAGGACACCTTGCCCTGCCTAGACCTTACCATAGCCCTCTTGGTTCCCAGGGATTTATTTGTATTGGACCAGGTCCACTAGCCTATGTCATTGCTTTTGAGGGCTTTGTGTAACTTCTATTTGTCCTTGAGAGGGCCTTTTCTCCAAGGTGGACAGCTGGTTGACTAAGAGGTGCCTTATTCATCATTACATTTGAGTTAGTAACGAGATGTGTGTGTGTGTATTGTAGTGATACAGTGCTCCTAGAGTGGATAATATGCTAACCCTAGAGTGAACACATATGTGTATGTGTGTGTGCTAGTGCATAGGTGTGAACACACACAAGTTTTCCCCGAGAGTTAGTCACTCCTCCTTTCCAGTCTGCTTCCCTGAATTCTATAGGAAGTACAAAAGGAAGGCTACCTCGGTTTTGTGCACAAGACTTTCTTTGTACTCTGCTTGTCAGCTCTTTCTCTGGTTTTGGGTGCAAGCCCCTAAGCCATTTGCTGCCTTTTTGTTTTCTTGTTTTCTTTTGTTTTTCACTACCTTTTCCTTCACATTATTGCCAAGGGAAATTTTTCCAGGAGAGTTTTAACTCCTTCTATTTAGGATTAGCCATAAAACCTAAGGAGTTTCCTATTTTATTCTTTCCCTGCCTACAGTACCCTTTCCCATATCTATGGGGTGAAGGATGAAGTTTACATGTAGTAGTGTACATAATGCATGCCCAACGATTGTGACATTTAACTTTTAAGTCATTCACAAACATTGTTGCATAGTGGAATCACCTGGGGGAACTTCTCAAACACTCCTTGTACCGAATTGTTCCCTGTGCCACTTAATCATAATGTCCCAAGTTGGAATTAAGGATCACTGTAAAGCTCCTTGGGTGATTCCAGTGTGCAGGAAAGTTTGGGAACTACTGATCCAGAGAATACTATATAGGAAAAGAATTGCTTCTGACTATTTGGTGGGATTTTGGGCAAGCTTTGGTTCCCTTATCTGTAACAGTTGGTTGTTAGATGAAATTTCTAATAAGTTTTGGTGAACCTTTTCAATGTATTATGGTCAGTCTATGATTAAACGCAATTTGGAGATAAACTGTTTGAAATACTATAAAAATGTGCATCCCTGATGCATATGATGTCAGACTTTAAATTTTAAACACATTCTGGACTTCTTTTAAAATTCAGCTTTGTCTTCCCTTGATGATGTTAAGCTTCCTTTTAAACAATGAGAGCAAATCAAAGCATATAACTCACTCAAGGGAATCCCTTTGTACCCTAATAAACAGCACCTATGTATAATTTAGAGATACAGAAATGTATGATCTGAAGGGTTGTGTCTGCCTATTTATTCTTTATTTAAACTAATTTGGAAATATTTCCCATGAATATTGTACTGTACAGATGTAGGCTGCATTACTATCACTGACTTTTCAGCATAAAAGAACTATTATCAGTTTGGAGGCCACTTGTATTTACTACAAAATTTTTTCTTGTACTGGAGGAATGATTTTCATTTTGTTCTACAGCATTTTTTTAATTAACTTTCAGAGAAATAATGAAAATTATGGGCAGGTGAATAATGAATAAGTCAACTGAAATAAATGCACGGGCTTCAAAGTTTTTTAAACAAATATTATGTGGTTTAGTTTTAAGTATTTGGGAACATTTATAGAATTTGTCCAGGGAAAGAGGTTATACGGGTAGAAACACAAATGACAGAGAAAAACGTAATAATGTATAGTTAAAAGAAGATGTCCTGATGTCACATTGCATAACATTTGGCATCTGTCTACTATAAGCAAGTTAAATGAAACAGGGGCAAGTGCCCATATGATACTGCTCTGAAACTGCAAGACAAGTCTATGGGAAGTTTCTCCTTGAAAACATGTCTTCAATTTCACCAATAATCTTGGTTATAACATATATTTTTTTTCCTTCCCACAGTATGACGTTGGCAGTATATTACCACATAAAATACAGGTGAGCTCTTAAAAACTTGCCTTATACTTCAACTTAATTTACAGAATACCTATATATTATCAGGCCCTGGCTGCAAACATCAGAGGTTGTGCTGTGCTTTTAGTAATAGATGGAAGCAAGTCATTTCAGGTTTCTTGTTATTGTAATTAGGTCTGTTGAAAAATATTCTCTTAAAGATCACAAAGGATATTTGCTTCCATAGATTATATTGATGTGTTCTGTTTAGAAATTAAAACAGAGTTAAATGCATATGTGTTTGTGTGTGCCTGTGTGTGTGCAGGTGGGAGGTGTTAACAGCATTTCTTGATCGTGGATCTACTGACATTTTAAGCCAGGTACTGTTTGTTGTGGGGGCTGTCCTACTCAGTGTAGGATGTATTACAGGACTGCTGTCCTCTGCCTAGTAGATGCCAGTCGCTTTCTCCCTCATCTTGTGATAACAAACAATGTCTACTGTTGGACAAGATCACTCCCATTAAAAACCACATTGTTAACACACATAACAAAAATGACTATCTTTTATAACTCTTACATTTCTGTTCCCTTTCTACATTGGTTGAAAAATGTATCTCTATTTACACTGATGTACAAGTCCTCATTTGACTGAATAGAACACAATTAAATTCACCTTTTTCTTGATTCATCGGCAGTTCCTTTGGAAGAAACAATAAGAAAAATAACCAATCACATAATTGTATATATTTTGATATAAATGTGTTTTTAAAATACAGATCATATGGATAATCTTTTACTTTACATCACACACTGCAAAGATTAGTTTCTTAAGTTAGGTATAATGGAATTTTACATTGTGTCTCTGAAACTGCTACAAAATAACACTTATTGGTGTGTCTTTCACAGTGAGCAATTCTTTTATGAGTACATGATTCATAATATACATCAGTGAGCTTTGAAATTACCAGTTCAGATTTTTTTTACAACATCCAGAACACTTTCGTTATTATCATCACCAGTCTTAGCAAAAAGTCTTCCAGATACTGAGAGTCTGTCATAGGCAGATTTCAAGGTATACATCTTGCATAAATCTCAACGTTTTAGATTCACTGCTTGAATTTGACATTGGCAACAACTATTTCTTCACTTTCCTCGAGGCCCACTATGTTCTCTATTGATATATCTAGTTTCATGTAAAAGTAGAGTTCTATGATAAAAAGACTGTTAAACTCACAACTAAATCCTAAGTGAAGTTCTGAGAACATACTTCAGTATGCAGAACTGCTTTATGTGAACTTTTCATTTATTCATAATACCAAAAAGCTGATCCAAGATTTACCAACATTATTCTTTGCTGTTTCATCATAGGCAATTATAAAAGGTTTTTAAACAAAACTGCAAGTGACAGTGAAAAATACAATGACCTCTGATGTAACTTGGTGCCACAGGAATGGTTCACATTAAGAAATTGCAAGTTTTGATTTTGCCTTTATATGAGCATAACAAGTGACCAACAGTCAAAAAATAAGTAAATTCTTCATGATTGTAAGAGAAGTTTGAGCGCTTGAGCCTCCTGAAAATGATACTGAGGGTTCTCCAGAGGTCCAGAGACCACAGCAAACCATTGCTTTATAGGAACACAGTATAATACTTCAATGAAAATACTGGTCTCCTATACAAAAGCTGCTACATTTTTTGACACAACAGAAACACAAATGCATGATGAAAATATAGAGGACTGAAGAAAAGAAAACTTTGGAGATCTAAATCTCATTCACATTTACTACACTTCTAGGTTTGAATACCCAGCACTGCTGCTTTACTAGCATTGCCTGTAAGGAAGTGTCATTACTTATAGGCAACTTAGCCTGCTTATCTTAGAAAAGTCTTCACAGTACTTGATGCACTAAACAAAGAGATGTCTTAAGGTCAAAATCAAGGAGAAGAATTTCTAAAACTGCTTGATATGTTGAAGGTTAGGCCTCTTTCTCCATAGTCCCCTACCCTTACCAGGTACTTAACTAAGATATAAATGACTTAGATGAACTTTTCTTTGCAGAGATGCAAATACATCCCTGGATATTTTTGATGAGAGACTGCATCCTCTCACAGTAAGTGTCAGTTTTACAAGATCATTTTTTACCTAACCGTATCTTTGATGCTTTTTCTTTTGATATTAAGTGCAGAAATAAATCACACACTTCTATTTGAATTTAAATCATGTGCTTTCCAACATCATGTTGTATGACATGTTCTATGAAAAGAACTGTTCTTTAGGGTTACGATATGGGCAAAAGTGGCTTAAAGCTCCTCTATTACTGAACTAAAGTGAATAAATGTACTACTCCAACATCAGAAAATGTACATTTTCAAAAGCAGTTTTCAGTAAAATCTGATATACACATTAATGAATAGGTGATATCTCTGAGGAAAGAGTTAGTTAAAACTAAATTTAAAAAATAGTGGGATATAGTAACAGTTATTTTTCCTATTAACCTCTCTTGAGCACCTGTGTTGCTCTCCCATCCTGGTCTGATTTATTTCACTCTATTCTGTTTTGTTTGATACTATCAAGTTTGAGGGCATAGGCAACCACTTTGAAGACAATAAGATTTACTATGATGGCCATTATGCTTTCACTATTATCTACTTTTGAAGTCCTGTAAGGTCTCCAATGTAGGTTTTACTGGTCTTGTTCTGTACTGTTTTGCTCAATTTTATTGTACCTGATGATATACACAACTCTTTATAAGATACCAAGAGGCATAATGGTAACCATTGTTGATCACCTGGTATTCTGTTTTTGCATCATGTACTAAGTCCATCCTTCTGTTCTAACTAACTCTGTTTTGTTTTGTCACATTTGTTCTTTTTTATCGCTTCAAACAATAGTTGTAAGGTCTGTGGGACTAATAAAACTCAAAAAGTGTAATTGTTATTGTAAAAAAGAGAGGAAAAGAAAGTGATCTAAAGGATATACCTGCATATATATTTAAGTGTGTAGGATAGAAAAACTCATTACTGAGTTTTTGTTGGACCATTGAAGAGAACTGTCTGCAATCTCACTGTATGAATTTCCACTTTGTATGCTTTAATTTTGTAACTTGCACAACTGTTTCTAAGATGAAAATATGTAATCTATTAATCAATGATTTCTTACTGCATATATTTGTCCAGATATTATGTATTATTTTTACCCTTTACTGCTTTGATTTGTTTTGTTTTGTTTCCTCTTTTAATAAAATAATAATAATATTTTCCAATAGAATCTGATATACACATTACTGCATAGGTGATATCTCTGAAGAAAGAGTTAGGTTTGAATGATGTAAAATTAAAAGTCAGTTCCTCAGGCATATTATCACTTTGCACTGCTCAACCGTCATCTGGCTGCTGACTTCCAGAAGAGGTTGTGGCTGCAGGACAATAATTATATATTTTAGACTTCAGGCCATGTACAAAGAAATACAACATACAATTTAGAAGACTTTAAGGCTATAAATCAATCTGAGAATGCTGTTAATCACAGTAGAAAGAAATAGTGATTTTTCTGACCTTGCACACTTCTCTTCTTCTTACTAATGGAGTACATTTTGAGAGATGTATTGATAAGTGATTCCAATCTTGTGCAAACCTCAGAGTGTGCTTACACAACAAAGATGACTCTGGTGCACCATGTGGTCATTATGGGGCTGCTGTTGAATATGTGATCCTCACTGACCAAAGCATCACTGGGCAAAGTCAAAGATCCCAGTGTCTCTAGTAGAAGATGAAATGACATACAACCCAGTGAAAATTATTTTCAGGAACATGTGAACATAAGGTGAAGGTTGCTGTCTTAAGAATATTTAAAGCTTTCTTCAGATCATACTTGCATTGCATCATTTCTCCTTTCAGGAAGAGACGCTTCCAGAGGACTACTTTCAGCATGATCCTGAACATGAATGTATATACAGATTTGTTGCTATTATTTTTAATGCCCTATGCATACCAACTGAATGCGCAATAATGACTTTGGTAAGATGTGTCTTCTTTATCAAACATGCATAGAATGGTTTTGTACACATAAAAGGTCACTTTTTTCAAGTTAGATTCCTTAAATTATCATGAGAACTTTACTAAGACCAGCCTTTGATACATTTCTTTCATTGCTGAGACAAAATAAAGGGCACCCAATGTAAAAAGGAGAAAAGTTCATTTAGCTCACAATTTGTAGTGATTTAGTCCATAATGTACTGGCTCCAAAGTTCAGTGGAACATAGCATAAGAGCAATAGCCCATATCAGTGGAAGAAAGCAAAAGTAATAAGAGAAACAGGGAGAGACAAGCTTCTTTCTGTTCCTTACATTTTATGCAGTCTATTGGAATTAGGGCAGTGTCAATCCAACCAATAATCTGACCCAGCAATCACACACCCTTAATCCCAGCATTGCATAATCTAGATTCACCCTTCTCTAAATAGGTCCTCTGAGTGCACATGGCTTTGGGTAGACATCTAGACACAAACCATAAAAAAGCCTATCAAAAGAAAGTAAATGTATTTGGGTTCCCTAGGCATTATCATTTAAAATGGTGTCTTTAATTTTCTCATCACAAAACAAATGCAATTAAAGGAAGCTGAAGAGTTTTCCCCACACACATCAGTATACACAGAGCTGACACTGTGAACACTTGCACATGCTACGGGGTGGGAAGGAGAGCATTAACAGGACCATAGGAGACACAGACACTGATTTTAGGCTGATCAAAACAGGACCCAGGCTGTGTTTCAGGCAATTCACTGCCTTCAGTTCTCTAGTCTTTGGGGTATGGGTATCAACCCATCCCTGTTGATAGCTTCTGTCTATTTATGAAGTTGCCCAGGATGACAGTACCAGTAGTTCTTTAAAAAGCATTGTTATCATGATACACTGTAGAAGTGCCCTCATATTTGTGTTATCCACACAGAAGTTGGAAGGTGGAATTTGTCATCTACAATACTGGTGAAATGTTTGAGATTGTTCCAGTCCTTCCCCCACCAAATGCATAGTGGAAAGTCATATACATGGCCTGAAGACAAAAAACACTTAAGACAGCAGCTGCGCTGATGGCATTTAGTCATGCCCTCTGTTGAAACAGAAACCCATCAGGGACATTTCCATTTGTAGAGATAGATAGCACAGCAAGCAGAGCTGGGTTGGAGGTGGAAGTGTCCATGTAAACAAGGTAAGCTTGATGCTCCTTGAAATAACTGTGGCATATCTTCATATACTTTGGATGTAGGGGTACAGGCACAGAAATGTGACTAAGAAGTAAAGAACGGTGGCTGCTCAAATATACAGAATGAATTCATTGAAAAGTGGGCAGGAGTCCTTAGCAGTTAAAGGCAAAGTTTCAAAAGAAGTAGGCAGAGCAATGGGAGAAAGGAGAAAAGAGAAATGAAGGCGAGAGATGATGTGGTCAGAGTGATGAATGAGGTCAAGAAGTTGCACTGACACTCACTGATACTGATATTTATGCGGGGGAAGAACAAAGAGATAGAGCAAAATTCTTGCTGTTTGTGAGCTCATGATCTAGTGAAAAAGTCATGGGATATTTTTCATGTATATGAATATCTCACATTGCAGTAAATGTCAAGAAGACAGAGCATTGTAGGAGGTTGAAGAGTGATTTCAGAGCTTTCAGTTTCAGGCAGAGTGACCAGGAAGATCTTGTTTCAGAGTAGTGACACTTGAAGTACAACCTGACTGGAGCAGGGAAGGCAAGGTGCTCATGCATTACATTCAAGAGGGTAAGATGTAGGCCCCCAGTTCAGGAACATGTTTCATGTGCTCAAGCAAGAACAGGGTGACTAGCATGCTGTGGGTAAGGATCACTCTCTCAGGGTCACACATCATTTGCAAAGCATGGGAGGTTGATTGGTAACATTTGGTAGATATTGATCTACCAGTGAATTGTTCCTTACATGTCAGGGCTTTCCAGACTGTCTTGGGGAACATAAACTGCAGGTGGGGTTTGGATTAGAGGCAGAGGACAAGGGTTAGGAAGCAACATGGTGATGCAGATGACCAAAGACAAATGGAAGCTCAGGACAGAAAGCTTTCATGTTACCAATGGAAGTAGAGATAATAGAAAGTATGCATAGATTGGTGTGGAATATGTCACACTATAAATTTTGTTCATAGTACTAGGCAAGGAGCAGTGCTGCTTACATATTAGGAAGGGTTGGAGAGTGGAGTGTTAGGATGCATAACTGGTGTGTAAGTTTGCATCCCACAATCGGATTGGCAAGACTGTTCCAGAAGAGTGCAGTGATACAGGAAAAATGGTTAAACAAAGAAGGGGAAATGAGGGATATGCATAGGCATAATACAGTGATCCAGGTCAAAGGTAGCAGTACTGGAGTTTCAGCAAGGGAGATGAGAGCAATGTAAACCACCTGGGGGAGTGACATTTGACGTAAAAAGTCTTCAGAAAGAGGTAATCAGTGTCCAGCAGAAGTGGGGTGGGGCACTAATACTGATGGAAGAGTTTGCCTTGTTTGAAAGTAAAGAACAGTGGTCCACTCACATAACAGGCAAGTGGTACAAATGAATACTAACCCAAAACAAAGCCATGGAAAAGATGAACAGGGGTTGTTTCATTATCAGGATGACCAGCATTGTTTCATTATCTCACATCACTTATATACAGAAGATTTGCATCCTGGAACACAGTAACATAGTTAGAATAGCTAAGGGAGCAGGTATTGGAGAATGAATACAGTCAAGGTTTAAGAATATTGCCTAATATGGACTGCGAGCCTGACAGCTTACAGATTGTAACTATGCTCTTAAAAGTGAGCCTTTTTCTTTATAGTTGCGATAGAAAGAGTTAAAATAGCATATCCAGTCCATGAGCTCTGCTTCTAAAATTTCACCATTTGGGGAAATTTTATGGCCTTGTTTTCCCTTGTCCTTAATGCTTAAATGTATAGTGTATCTACCTTTACTTGGAATTTACCTTGAATTTTTTTAGTGTAATACCCTAGAAATGATTTCAAGTATACAAGGATGTGAATAGGTACATGTGCAAATCTTAAGCTTTCTATCTAGGAGACTTGAGCATCAGGAAACTTTTGTATTGATCAGATTTAATTAACAGCATACAGCTTCCTCTGTCATCATTACTCGGCAATTTGCTCACCTAGTTCTTTGTAGAACAGATATTTGATATATGTAAACAGTGCCTGAGGTCATGTCATGAACTGCCTGGAACTTTAGGGGTCCCAGGGTTACAGGCTGGCAGCTATTCTTCTCATCATAAAGCCAAAGCATTGAATAAGTAGCTAATTATGTAGGAAAGAAAATCGATATTCATGAATAGTGGGAATATGAAAAAGGGCTCTAAGAAGGACCATCTTGTTTTACTTGTGGTTTCATTATAAAGGTACTGCGTTTCAGAAAAACTTCATAGCTGTAAATCTTGCACCTCTCATGCTGTTCTGCTCACCAGCCATGGGAAGGTGCTTTTCTCCACAGTTATTGCCACAAAAGGCTTAATACTATGAAAAGATGAAATGTGCTCACTTTGAGTTAGGTATCACAGCTGACTATAACATGTCTAAAACCATTTTATATCTACCACCTGTATGTTATATTACATGTTGGTGGCACTTGGTATTTACTGAACAAACTTACACCTGCGCCCTTCACGAATGTGGAGGTGATAGCAATACTACCAGCTGGATGACTTCTGTTGCAATGTCCAGGCATTCCACTCACCAAAACTGTGTAGGAAAATTACATGGGCAGCAGGCATGTCTGATTTACAGTTGTGACCTCACATCTTGCTTTAGCTGAGCACAATCTCTCAGTCGCACTTCCCTTTCTCATCACAGAATAAACATCATGTACAACAGTTCTTAGCAAAGCACTTAAACAGAGCTAAAATGAAAAAGCGGTGCTCTACTCTTTGCAGGTTTACTTAGAAAGGTTGATGTCATATGCTAAGATTGACCTCTGTCCTACCAACTGGAAAAGGATTGTCTTGGGAGCCATTGTTCTTGCCTTCAAGGTTTGGCATGATAAGGCTGTGTGGAACATATACTTCTGCCAGATCCTCAAGAACCTTGCACTCCAAGACATGTGAGTTTACAAGGTTTTCGTGACTTTTCTATCCATGTTCCAGCTCACTTGGTCCCTTAAGGCATGCATTTTAAGAAATATTTTAAATATTACATTTTATAGAAAATAAAAATGAGCTTAAAACTATGATACCCTGTCAATCTACAGTATAGAAATTCATGTTTTCCATCATTAATTTGTTTTAATGGATTGTTATTGTAATGGTATGATTCATAAGCTGTAATTTTTTTCTGGAGGTTGCAGACAAGTATTTTATAACCTTACCATCAATATAACATATTACTGTGTTTATCTTCATGGCTTTTTAACAGCTTTCAGCGCCATTCCCTTCTTTAAGGGCGACCATGTCTGACTTTTGAAATAAATGCTTGATCACTGTTATATCCCTGGGGCTATAGGTTTAGTCTGAGTCACAAGTTGTACCTTTGCTTTAGCTGGTCTTTACAACAGAATTTATTCCAGACTCCTGTGCCTGCCTACCCCTCATTAGGAGTGTTGTATGTGTGTAGAAATCAGTCTGATGGGCTCTGATTTTATGTGTATAGAAGGTGCAAAGGCAGCTCCCTAGTCACATAGCACAGGGCTGTACCCAGTCATTTCTCTTTCCACTGCACTGAACTCACACGTGTGCATACATGTGCATGTGTTTGTGCATGTGTGTGTATGCCCACACATGTACATTCTCTTCTGGTGAGGGGCAGCAGATACTGATCAATTTGGATTTCCCCAGCACAGAAACATGAGTGTGAGGGCTCTGACAATGTTCTTGTCCTACAAGGGATGTAGTCCACTTAAGACTCCTGTGTTTGACCTTTCCATCTTCCAAAGTTTAAAATGGGTATCTTGTCATGGTCACAATTTGTAAACCCACTAATAATATGCCCTTCATCACAGTCTCTTATGCTGAGACAGGGGAAAGGATTGCCTTTCTCATATAGTGGAGTTTTTTTTTTTCCCTTCCTTGCAAATTTAGGATGAATGCTTGCTTGAAGTGCTTGCCCCTCAGAGAGCAGAATGGTGCATCTTTCCCTGGTGCCCCTCTACTTCCCCCTCAATATGTCTGCAAGCCTTTGAGAGCTAACATTAGCATACATTTATTTTTTCTCTGCTCAATGTAGTGATGAATGTGTGTGAAGCATGAGTCACACAGATGCACTGCTGGACGTTGAAGAAAGAATCATGAGCCAGCAATAGGCAGTAATGAATAGGCTATAACTATTGTCCACCCAAATGCAAAAGTGCTGGGATACAGAAACAATTCAAAACAGCCTGTTGGCACATGAGTATTTTTTCTTATCAGTTAAGTAGCCTCCCTACATCTCAGAATTTACAGCAGTCAGTATTAAGAACTGTACGAGTAATAAAACCCAAAATGTGTAATTGTAATTGTAAAAAAGTGAGAGATAGAAAGTGCTCTAAAGGATACAACTGAAGGTGTGTTTAGGACTGTAAAATAAAGTTTTTGTTGGATCACTGAACACAACTGTTTGCAGTCTCACTGTTTGAATGTCCACTTTGTATGCTTTAATTTTGAAAGTTGAACAACTATTTCTAATATGACATTATGTAATCTATTAACTAGTGATTTCTTACTGTTTATTTTTTTGAAATTCTGTATTACTTGTACCCTTTTACTGTTTTGTTTTTCTTTAAAGTAAAGAAACTTTTAATAGAATTTACAGCAGTCCTTAGAAGCTCAAAATGACATTTTCGAAGATACTCTACTTGATCAAAATTATCTGATGTTCATTTTTCTGTGTTCTTCCTCCACAGAAATCAACTGGAAAGGCATTACTTGTGTCTGCTTGAGTTTAATGTTAATGTGTCTGCCAGCATTTATGCCAAATACTACTTTGATCTTCGCTCTTTAGCAGATCACAGCAACATGTATTTTGTGCCTGCACCTCTCACCAAAGAAAGAGCACAGAAACTAGAAGTAAGGCTGTGCCTTCACTAAGTAGGATGTTCTGTGAGCCACTAATGCCAGCATCTGTGGCTATATCATATAAAGTAGTTAAGGAAAATGGCAAGTTTTGAAATTAACACTTTCAAGAGTTTACTAAACCTTTAGTGTGTGTCATATATTTTAGTTCTTAATGGTTCAGATAGAGATCCACATTATTATTTAAAAGCAGTTCTATTTTCATTGATCATAATTCAGAATATTTTAATCAGCATTATTCTGATCAAAATGGTTTTCCTTTTGAACCGCTACCTTTCTCCATAGCCACACATGATTAACTACCTGGGCTTGTTTTCTTTATCATGTATACAAATACTGTTCACTTAATTACTTGTGCTTATTTTTTACTCAATTTTAAAATTCATATCACAATTCAGCTGTCCTACTTCAAGACCAAGGATTCAGTAGACAGATTCTTACTGGCTAACATGACAGCCCTATATGTAAGATATGTGTTGTGCATGTGGAAATTGGAAGTACATGAGTTTTAAAGGGAAATGGCAGCTTACATAGGCAAAGTAATGCACATGGTTTGTGACTTTTGGTGATCCTCCACCAAAACAATTGATACCTGAAAAGGATGCATACATTCAAATGGTACTTTCTGTAGTGCGTCCATGGCATAGTAACTCTCCAACTTACAAATATTTAGGTTTCAGGTTTTCGCAGATTATGAAGATTATTTCACTGGTGATTGCTTTTCAGTGCTTTACATTGTATATTTGTGTCCACTGACTATAAGATTCATTTTGTTGGACTCACAAATTAATCTGACTCAGGAATGTTCTCCCAGAACAGAGGACTTATCCTCTTAAACTGAGGACTTATCCATTTTGGAATATGTATTTTGCTCCTACAACTCATGTGAATTTGAAGAAGCATGCGTTGGTGCTACAGAACTCTCCTGCTCTACATTAAATCCATACCACCTTCCAAGGAAATACCTTAGAGTTTGGAAACTAATAATGGTCAGATAGCATTGGAATAGCTGGTTCAGTATTTACTGATTGTTTTTGCACATATGTAGCCTTATCATTTTTAATATAGTTACACGATAAAAAATGCTGTTGGTAGCTTATCGTATCACCAAATTTTGTCGGCTTTGGAAACTCCATTTGTAAAGACTGTAACTGAACAAACTTCCCCTTACTTGGTAATTGAATCATCATTAAAGAATGTTAGTGAATTGGCAGGAAGTAGCAACCTCTTAACCTGGCAGTGCAGGTCTCAAACACCCAAAGCATCAGTGACCATGAAGTAGCTAAAGTAAGTTTGTATGACTAAACTTCTGTGATTAGATTACTTTTCTTTAAGGTTTCTGTCTTTTAAAAATTTTTACCTGTATTCCTTTTGATAAACTTTCCTAGGCGATGTCAAGATACTGTGAGGATGGAGGCTTGCACAGAAGTGAAATCAGAAAAGCTTCCAGTGATGACAGCTTCACTGGAATTCAACTGTCTAAAGCCATCCTGTCTTAAAAGAGAGAGATGAGGGCTATGACATCGTAGACCCTCGTTTACACAAGATGGACCACCTGTCTTTGAAAAAAAAAAAATCCAAAGTGAACATATTTGCCAAAAGGAAAGACCTTGAATTTCAGAAACTGTTGGACAGTTATAGTTGTATTGCATGGGAAGAGACCTTGTGAAAGCAACAACACACTTCCTTTCTTCATTGATGTGAGCAGAGTTACTAGTACCACAAAGCAGAAGCTCCTGGCTGACACAACCATTCGCTTACTTCACAGGCCAATGCCTGTGAACTCTGCAAGGCTTTTAGATTAAGAGTATAAAGTTAAGCTAGTTTAAAATTTTAATAAATTTTTAAGGTAGATTTTTTAAATAGTATCTGTTTAGTTTTCATGTCCCCTGCCACAATATAGCTGTGTAGACTTTTAGGATTAGCATAGTATTACTGTTAAAAAATGGGGAACCTTTTGTATTACATGGTGCTGAGAGAAAAATCCACATTCCTATCCATGTCTCAGGCAGTATGTCTATTACTGAGCCATTCACCCAGCCCCAAAATGGGAGTATTCACACTTATGAAATCATTTAGGACTACACTGCCACGTCATCAGTATTGAAGGTTCTTCCTTCCTGTGGTATCACTGAGTTCCTAGGCAGTCATGTCAGCAATTTTACACAAAAATTCAGCCAGAGAGCACTTGCCACTCAGGTTCTTTACAAGCACTACTTAGCAGCCTCATGCCATTCCATGTCTGTGGTCATAAAGAAAAATCATCTGCTATTGGCTATCTACTTTTATCGGGTTCATACAGAATCTTATGAGGTAAAAGTGGTGCTGATAATTTTTTGATGATTTCCCTTTGTTAAATAAACATGTCAGAAGATATTTCTATAATGCAAACCAATATGATGGTTCAATAATCACTACAGATAGTAAAGTACAAGGCATCCCAAAAGTTTCAGAGTAGTTTTAAGCCTTTGGCTACTATGTTTGTGTCTTTAAGGGCACTGGAGCAGGTAGAAAAGCTGCAAACTTACAAATCATTATTCCAACATTTCAGTTTGGTGAGTTTAGAATATTATTCATTTATTCTAAACTTTTTCTAGTCTCTTAAAAAAAGGATAGAGAGAAGAGCTAGAACAAAAGTTAAAAGCTTAATTTTCACATTTCTCAAGTTAATACTTCCAAATAATATATGATAATGTTTTAACTTCTGTATTTATACACGGTACCAAAGCTTAAAATGACACTAAGATTTTTGGGATGTTTTATATTGCAAAGAGTTTCCCTCTTCTTTCCGAGGAGTTCTTTTAGAGCAGTGCACTATCCCTATTTTGAGTACCTAAATTTCTTGGTTCTTGATTTGGTGAAGGAGAGTATTAAGAGCAATATTAATTGGCATGTTTCATAAAGGAATTGGACCCCAACAGCAGCACTTGGTATGAAAGCTTATTTTGAAACCTATCCTACATGTTACCTTAGCAGTAGGTACCCCATTGCGAGCCCGATTATTTAAGACAGAAGTTACACAAACCTTAGGAACATAATATAGGTTTTAAAGGACAGAAATTAAGTAATTTTAGACAACTTACAACAATGTTACCTCAGTATTAAAAATTAGTGTTTTGGGGCTGGGGATTTAGCTCAGCGGCATAAGAACCTGCCTTGCAAGCAGGCGGTCGTGAGTTTGATACCCAGTATGAATTAAAAGAAAAAAGTTAGTGTTTTGCCTCATGAAATACATTTCTTTCCTTCTCAAATACAACAACCTATGCTGTCCAAAGAAAATTATTTACAGAATTTCAAACTTAAAGATTTGAATGTTACTTGCAGATGTTTTGTGAGAGAATCCTAAAATTTATATTTATTTTTCATTTCCATGACTATGTTTTTAAAAAGTAATAAACTCCTTTGATTACAACACAGCTGTTAATTTCGTTGTTACTTCCCTGTTCACATAACAGTATAGTTCTCCAGAATTTAAAGGTTGTGTGTCATTCTTACTGGGTTTGAAAGCATTCTCGAAGAAACTTTAAAACTGAGGTGATCCAGGCCACTGGATACTTAATGTATTTCACTCATTCACCTGCATAATGCAGATAGACAGTGTATCTCAGAGATGAAAGCACATAAGAAGATACTTGAGGAACTACTGATTAAAATGTATTAGTTGAGGGCCGGGTGTTTAGCTCAGCAGTGTAAGTGCTTGCTTCGCAAATGCAAAGTCTTGAGTTTGATCCTTGGTACCAAAAAAATTTTTAATTTAATTTAAAAAAAACACAAAGTATATTAGTTGGAATGAAATGGAACAATAGGTTTTGTCTATGAAAAGAAAGATTTTAAAAATGCTGCAGTGGTGGTGCACTCCTGTAATCCCAGAACTCAGGAGGCTGAATTAGATGGATTGGTGCAAGTTTCAGACCACCTGGGCTACAAAATGAACTCAAGACCAGCCTGAACTACACAGCAAGACCTTGTCTCAAAAACACACACACTAAAAAAGATCAAGTAGAAGATTTAATTAATTAATTCTTCCCAGTTTGCAATTCAGTTTTTAAAAGCACAAAGACAGAGAACCACACCACACCACCATGGAGCACAGCTTCTGCACCATGCTTAACACCCAACATTCCCCAAGGGACATCTGGGATGCTAGGAACAACTGGGAAGCCCCAGGTTGACCTAGGCCCCTGCTGGGCCCACCCTTCTACAAGAACACCTGCCTGGGGTGCCCAGGCAGTCCTGGGCCTCCTAGCACTGCCACCATTGGGCCAACCCCTCATTGGGAACAGCTGGGACACCCTGGAAAACAATCCACCTCATACTGCCACCAAGGAAGACCAGGGACACCCCAACACTCCTGTCTTGCTTGGGACTGCTGCTACTGGGCCCACTCCTCCACAGAACACCTGGGACACCAGTGGCATGACTGATCACATAGGACAGCCATGGTGGGCTCTTCTTTGGGGAATCCACCCACGACCTGGACCTAGCTAGTACTTCATATGGTCTTTTGATTCAACCCCTTCTTCTAGAACTTGGACTACAGTGAATTACCGTGCTGGCTGGATGGGAGCCTAGGGAACCCCTCACCCAAACAGAAGACCTCAGCAGGCTCTAGTCAGTGTGGTAAGTTTGCCCCTAAAACACAGGTCTGCCGTGGGTAAATAGGAGCAGAAGTGAAACTCCTTCCAATTGGTAAGACCTTGATGAACCTGGCAAGAGAGTGGGTAATCCCCTCTTCCACACAGAGAACATCAGACAGGTTGAGGAGTGTGCCACTAAGGCCTCCCCATCTTAGAGAAAATTAAAAGAGCTCATGAGACCCCGCTGACACATTAGGGCCTCAGCTGACACAAACACTATGGACAAGGAGAGCTGGTGACCTGCAACAACCTGAAGACATAGCAACAGCAGAAACTAACAGTTAACCTACATCTGCACTTTTAGGTTGGTTAGTCCAGAAAGAATATAGGACTCACCCAACAGGCCCTGTAGGAGGAATTCAGGTGATTGGCTCTCCTCTTCACCGTGATACCCAGAAACTGGTCAAACATCAACCACACAGTAGGACCCTCAAATTACCACTACCTATACTTCAGATTGTTGGGATTCAAAGACCAAATATTTACCCAAAATGTGAAAATGACAAAATGAAGAGGAAAAATGCTATCTCAAACATCTAGTCCATCAGGGCAAGTACAAGTGACAATGAAATACAGGACTTTAAAACTCACACACCGGGAATCTCTGAAAAGAGAGCAAATGAAGTAAAGAAAAAAGAATCCATGAGGCTATAGAAAAAATAAAATTAGAAATAATGTCTTATCTAAACACAAAAATAACAACCTTGGTAAATAAGTTGCTCACCATAGCTAAAGAAAAAATAGATTAAAAAATACAGGAGCATGGGAAATTGATCGAAACTTTGGATGAACAATACAAAAAGCAAAATCCATAAAACAAATTCTAAGAGTTATCCAAGTTACAAAAAATTCTACTGAAAGTTAACAAAACCGTTTAAATGAAGATGAGGGTATAATTTCAGACCTTGAAGACAGGATCCCAGATAGTGATCACGAAAGGTTAGAACTTATAAAAACAAAAAGCAGCATGAGATGACAATTCAGCAGCTTCAACATGATGCCAACAGAAACATGTTGTTTAGTTGAGGGCCTACTGAAGCTAATAGGCATCAGTGAAGATGCAAGTGTCAATGCAAATGACATAACTAAATCATTCACAGAAGTAATGACAGGAAATTTCCCACACAAAGGGAAAAAATCTCATATCCAAATAAGTGAGGGATACAGAATGCCAAACAGTCACAACCAACATAAATCTATATCCAGACACACAATAATTAAGATCCAAGACACACAGCATAAAAACAGAATACAAAAAGCTGTTAGAGAAAAGACACAACTCACCTATCACGGAAAACCTATTAGAATCACGGCAGACTTTTCAGCACAAACCTCCAGTTTAAGAACATCCTTGCAGTGAAGTAATTTCAAGCACTAAAAGAAAACAACTTTCAACCCAGACTGATGCACCCAGAAAAACTATCCTTCAAACTTGTGCAGAAACAAGATATTTCCGTGACAAAGAACAGCTGATGAAACTGATGTCCAAGAGAGAATTGTTTTCTTTGCCTGGGGCCCAGGATCTGCCTGCCTGTGGGTTGCATAAATCTAGCGGAGGTATGGGACTCTCCTTTTCACCTGGGGACCAGGCTGTGGATCCCTGGTCGTCCAGTAAGACCAGCAGAGGCAGGGAACAATGCCCTAGGCCAGCAAACTGTTTTCTTTGCCTGGGGCCCAGGATTTGGCTGCCTGTCAAAATCAATGAGTAAGGAGGGAGCAGGGACTTCTTTCCCAGCCTGGCTAACCTCTCTACCTCACTTGGAACAAAACTTGAAGCGCAAAAATGTAGGAAAATGACAAAATGAAAGACCAAATTGCAGTCTCAAACATTCAGCCCATCCCAAAAAAGTCTAGGAGCCATGTGCATAGAAGAAAATATATGCCACATACCTGAAATACCTGAAATAATACTAACTGAAATAAAGGAGCAAATCTGGGAAGCCTTAAAGGAAATCAAACGAGAAATAATCTCTCAGGTAAAAGAAGAAATGATAAAAGAAATGAAGAAGATGCTGAACATATCTAAAGAAGACACAGTTAAAAAAACTTGAGGGGATAAACAAAAAAATAAGAAGTCCTGGATGAACAACATAAGAAACAAACAGAATATATAAAGCAGATGCAAAGAGATATACAGGAAATAAAAAACTCAATCGAAAGTTGTAAAAACCACCTCAATGAATGTGAAGATAGAATTTCAGACCTTGAAGACAAGTTTGCAGCCAGTGAACTGGAGAGGAAAGATCTTTTAAAAATAACAAGAAATCAGGAAATAACAATTCAACACCTGCAAGATGACGCATAAAGGAACAACATAAGGTTAATAGGGATAAATGAAAAAGAAAGGAACAACATAAAGGATGTCAAGAGAATATTTAGAGAAGTAATAGATGAAAATTTCCCAAACATGAGACTGGAAACCGATATCAAGATCAGTGAAGCATATAGAACTCCAAATAGCCCTAACCAAAATAAAACTACACCCAGACACATAGTAATGGCCATTCCAGAAATCAAACAAAAGAATAGAATATTAAAAGCTGTCAGAGAGAAAAGACAGATTACCTATAAAGGAAAACCTATCAGAAACACAGCAGACTTCTCAGCACAAACAATAAAGTCAAGAAGAGCATGGAGCGAAGTATTTCAGATCCTAAAGGAAAATCATTTCCAACCTAGGCTGATGTATCCTGCAAAACTGTCCTTCAAAATGTATAGAGAAATAAGATACTTCCATGATAAAGAACGGCTGAAAAACTACATGATCACCAAGCCAACCTTGCAAAGAATACTGAAAGACAGCCTAGATGCATCTAGGAAAAAAAACACAAACAATTAAACAGAACAGAAAGACAAAAATGCAACAGCAGAAAGATAACATGTCAACAATAAACCAATATATAACAGTTATAACCATTAATATAAATGGTCTCAATGCACCAATTAAAAGAACCAGACTGAAAGAATGGATCAAGAAACAAAATCCAACCATATGGTGTCTACAAGAAACCTATATAACCCAAAAGGATACCCACAGACTGAAAGTCAAAGGATGGAAAACTATACTTCATGCAACAGGAACCCAAAAAACAGCATTGGTGGCTATTCTGTTTGCAGACAATGTGAACTTCCAGCCAATAATGATCAGAAGGGATAAAGAAGGTCACTACATACTGGTTAGGGGAAAACTCCAAGAGGAAGATATAACTATCTTAAATATATATGCACCAAAATTCCAGAGCACCCATTTCTATAAAACAAGTAATAAGAGAAATGAAAAACCAAGTTAACAGTGACACAATTCTAACAGGAGATCTTAACACACCATTGACACCAATGGACAGATCAACCAGACAGAAAATCAGCAAAGAAATAAAAGAACTGAATCGCACCTGTGAACAAATGGACTTAATAGACATATACAGAGTATTCCACCCAACAACAACAGAATACACATTCTTCTCAGCAGTACATGGGTCATTTTCTAAAATAGACCATATGTTAATTCACAAAACATATCTAAATAAATGCAAAAGGGTTGAAATCATCCCTTGCATGCTATCGGACCATAGCGCTATGAAATTAGAAATTAATGATAAAAGATACTACAAAATTCCCACAAACACATGGAAACTGAATAACACACTCTTGAGTAATCAGTGAGTCAAAGAAGAAATTAAACACTACCTACAAGAAAATGAAAACACAAATACAACTTTCCGGAATCTGTGGGATGCAATGAAAGCTGTCCTCAGAGGAAAATTTATAGCTCTGAGTTC